CCAGGCTGGTCTCAAACTCCTGACCTCAGGTGACCTGCCTGCCTCAGCCTCCCTAAGTGTTGGCACTACAGGCGTGAGCCACTCACCTGGCCCCTTAATCCATGTTGAGTTGATTTTTGTATAAAGTGAGAGTTTCATTCTCTTACATGTGGTTGGCCAATTATCCCAGCACCATTTGTGGAAAGGGTGTCCTTTTTCCACTTTATGTTTTAGTTTGCTTTGTTGAAGATCAATAGGTATTTAGGTTTATTTCTGGGTTCTTTATTCTGTTCTGCTGGTCTATGTGCCCATTTTTATACCACTACCATGCTGTTTTGGTCACTATGGCCTTATAGTATAGCCTGAAATCAGGTAGTGTGATGCCTCCAGATTTGTTCTTATCCCCTTAGTATTAAATACTATAATTTTGAATTTCAAAAAGCCTTTAATACTTAACTTTATTTCTGGGTTTTGAGAGATACTTATTTACTAAAAATAAACCATTTTATCACTTCACATAATTTTAGTTCACTGGTTAATTCTATTAAATATTTAAAAAACTAATCCCACGCCTACACAAGCTCTCAGAAAACAGAGCATGGAACATTTCCCAACTAATTCTATGAGGCCACTATTACCCTGATAAAAGCATCAAAAGAAAACTACAGACTAATGTCCCTTATGAGCTCAGATGCACAAATCCTTAACAAAATATTAGCAAATAGGATCCATCAATACAAAAAAGGATTATGCACTGTGACCAAGTGGAATTTATCCCACATAATTTTGGAGGTTATCTTCCCATGTAATTTTGGGGATAACCTTCCCCTCCCATAATATAATGTTAACAAATTGAATTCTGGATATCACTTATAGCTTTGTCTAGGCAGTGAGAACTTTAACATAAAGTCATTGTACTGATGGGAAACTATTATTGTTAGTATTAGCGTAATGAGAAGCAAAAATACGTACAAGATGCACAGGATGTTGAAAGGAGTCTCAGTTGGTGTGGGAGTGAAACTGTCCTATCCGTTCTTCTTGCCTGCTGCATAGATAGAGCCAATCTGAGACAGTATTTACTGAGACAGTATTACTGCCATACAGAAAGAGTTTAATAAGTGCAGAGACAGCTAACAGGAGACTGGAGTTTTATTGCTCAAATCAGTCTCCCCCAAAATTCAGAGACTAGGCTTTTTAAAGGATAATTTGGTGGGCAGGAACTAGGGAGTGGGGAGTGCTGATTGGTCGGGTGAGGGATGAAATAATAGGCTGTCGAAGTAGGTTTTTCTTGCTGTCTTCCATTTCTGAGTGGGATCACAGAACTAGCTGAGCCAGTTTGCCGGTCAGGGTGGTGCCAGCTGGTCCATCAGAATGGGGGAACTGACTGAAACATATCTCTAACACCAATCTTAGGTTTTCAATAGTGATGTTAATCATAGGAGCAACTGGGGAGGTTAGGAATCTTGCGGCCTCTGGCTACATGATGTCGGAGCCATGATTTGTAATCTTGTAGCTACTTTGTTAGTTTTACAAAGGTGGGCTGGTCCCCAAGCCAGGAGGGGTTTGTTTTGGGAACGTGCTGTTCTCATCTTTGTTTCAAAGTTAAACCATAAACTCAATTCCTCCCATAGTTAGCTCAGCCAACACCCAGGAATGAACAAGGACACCATGGAGGTTAAAAGCAAGATGGAGTCGGTTAGGTCAGATTTCTTTCATTGTCGTCATTTTCCTATGTCAGATTTTTCTCACTGTCATAATTTTTGCAAAGCTGGTTTTAGAAGAATCAGGGACTCAGGCTGACTCTAACAGAAGTATGATTTTGTGTCAGAGAAGAGGGCAGTTATAGTGGAATGTTCGTTCCAGAGGGAGAAGGAATGGAATGTGTAAAATGAACTTCTGTCTATTCTAATAGAAGGAGGACTGGCCAGAAAGAAGGAGGACCAGAGGGAAAGAGCAAGGACAACCTACAGAAGCTTCTCCTTTAAGACCCTGTATGAAACAATGAATAAAGCCCTCACCCATGCTGGCAGATACTTAACAAGGTCAGTTTCTCTTCCCTTTAAGGAGAATAATTTAAAAATAATCATACCATCTAGTAATTATATTTTACTTCTATTTTATCTTTAAAAGATCAGAATTAGGTTTCCTTTCAGTACTTTGCAAATAAGCAGCACATCTGGCCAGCTCCCAAGAATTTGTCAAGGGTGGTAAACATTGCAGGGCTGGAATAATTGTGGCTACTTTCATTCTCTCTCTGATAAATTTCATTTCCTTCCCTGAAACTTCATGAACTTCCTTTGGGGTATAGCTAATAAGAGCATGTGGGATGGGCTGAGACCTTTATCATCTTCAGCCATTTGTGTTAAATTGAATATTATGATGTATCTTTTATGGTCAGCCTTACATGCTAGCTCACGGAGGACAGTTGCTAGCTCAGTTTGAGGCTGCAGAAAAATGGAAGAGAATGAAAGATGATTCTTGCCTTTGTGCAGTTAGCATTCTAGTTTGAAAATACAAAACATAATGCACATAATGTAACATGTGACTACAAATCTGTAACTACCATGCATTGAGCAACTACTATGGGACAGACATTGTGCTTACATAAACACACACACTTTAATTCTCACAAAAACCAGGGAGGAGATAGGGTTAACCCCCTCCTGCCCCGCCCCTTTTATGAGAAAACTGAGACTTAGAGAAATTGACTCCTCAAAGGTCACCTAGCTAGAAAGTGGTGGAACCAGGTTTTGAACTCAGGCAAAGAGATATTCCAGGACAAAATAAGCTTCAGTGAAGAGTTGTAGTAAGTTCTAAGGACTGAGAAATTTATATTGAATTTTTCTGCGACCTTGGGCAAGTTATTTAATTTGTAGGAGCCTCATTTTTCCTTATCTGTGAAGTGGCTCTTTCTTCATTAGGTTGTTCTGAGAGTGAATGAGATGATGCATGAAGCCCGGCAGCACATTCCGAGTGTATAATAACATTCCGAGTGTATAATAAAGGCTCAGTAAGGTCAATAAGTGAATTAATGAACTCACATCACTGGTAACCCCCAGAGGGGACTCAGGCTCCACTGTTTTTCTTAAACAAAAATACTGAAATCCAGGCTGGGCGCAGTGGCTCCCACCAGTAGTCCCAACACTGGAAAGCTGAGGCAGGAGGATTACTTGAGCCCAGTAGTTCAAGACCAGCCTGGGCAACACAGTGAGACCCTGTCTCTTAACAAGTCCAAAGGGAATCATGGCCTCAACAATCCCAGTACAGCTCAACAGTTAACTGCCCATGCTCTTTTCCTTAATGCTGTATAACCTCCCTGGCGTTTCTCCTTCTTTGGCAAGTGAGAGGCGTGCCCCTCAGCACGGGCTGAGCACACCGGGCTTGAATTTTAAAAAGGGGGAAGCCTCGGGGCACGGTGGCTCACGCCTGTAATCC